TGTACTTTTCATCTTACATTTCTTCTCCTATTTTCTTCTTTAGTCGATGTTGTCCGATGAGATAGAGCGTGACTAGAACGAAGTAGAAAATGAACGTGAACACAGTCGAAGACCGGAGACAGAGATCAAGCATGATAATGACGGGCACGATGGAGGTCGACGGTGATGATGACAGGTGAAAACAGTGGGTTTAATGATAGGGCTCGATGTATGCGTTCTTGACTAATTTTGGATCTAGGTCCTTTCTTCACCGATTTGGGGTTGTTTCCTTTTTCGTTCAGGCAGACGGTGGTGAGGCCAAAGTTTCTAGTCACGGTGGTGCGGCGGTGCATTTAAGGTTCGATGGCGGCGCTGAATTCGAGAATGGTAGAGGTGGCAGCTAAAGCCTAAAACTAGGGTTACTGGAAACTGTTTTCTTTTTAACTTTTAATTATAAATTGACTTAAGAATTCATCAAGAGTAATTTTGTTAAATACATATACTTTTAATTTTATGAAACATAAAAGTTCTATTTGTGCACTTCTTCATTGTTTTAGTGGTATATGTAGGTCGGGAAACTCGTATATCCCTGTTGCATTCTAAAATGGAGCCGGATTGAGTGTTCCATTTACATGTTTTTACCCCCTGCTTAACATCAAAATAAACTCATTTGAGATTATTTCTGAAATATTACTGAAATAAAATTTATAATTTTTTTATTACAATTATTGCAATGCACAATTGAATAATCATAATCCATATAGATACATACTGCTATGATCATTGTGTTTCAAAAGTCACGTCTGTACAAAATGTCTTTATTTTAATATACAACAACATCCAAGCCTTAATTCCAAAAGAATTTGGGGTCAGCTAACATGAATCGATCTATGATATCTATGTCAAACAGAGAAGACGGATAAGAAAGGGAAGAAAAAAGTAAGATGAAATGAATTAAATAAAGATAAATAAATGTAAGATAACAATAAAATAAGAATATAAGAAATATAAAAGAAAAAATAAAAGAGCACAAAAATATCTTATGTTAGGAATATTTTATGGTGTCCAATCTATTTAAATATCTTTGTATTTGTGTAGTTATTAATTAAATGTGTAATATGTGCCACTAATGTATTTCAGCCCATTATCTCTCTTGTAAGGCTCAAATTAGACATCCTTACGTATAAAAGGATGCTAACTTAAACAAACCCTAAGCTTTCACCAAAATATTAACGCACATATCATTCTTAGAGAGAAGTGAGAAAACGCCGTTCATACCCTACTTTGTAATTCGAAATCTTTATTGGCATTGAATCGAAGCTGTTTGTTCTTTACTCTATTCTACTCCCTCCGTCCCTTAAAACTTTGTCAAGTTTGACCGACACCAAGATTAATAAAGTAAAAATTGTGTGGTTGAGATCTGTGCAGCGGAGAGAGAGAATTGACTGAAACCACAAAATAATTGATTAGAAGGGAAAGTGGCAAAGTTTTTTAGGACATCCCAAAAAAGAAAGTTGATAAAGTTTTAATGGACGGAGGGAGTATTTTGGTATTTTGATTGTTGAATATAGGGAAAAACAAATGTAGAGTCAACCCGTCAAATATTTGGTCCAACAGCCGCCACCCTTCCGTGAGTTCGCCGCCACCACCCTCGGATGAGCCGTCACTTTGATCCCTTTTTGACTTCGAACGAGAATGTCATCTTAATAAGAATAAGGGAAAAATGTCAAATAAACTCTACTATTTTTGAACCATCACCTAAACTTTGTTACCCCATGCAAGTTTAAAAAGATGGGAAAAGGGCAACCTACTAAATTAAGTATCACCACAGCAAAAAAAAAATTAAAAAACGATCATACCGCTTTGAATGACCGAATTACAACCTCTAGAATAACCGCTTGAAGCTTACATGAAGCCTTTTTGGCTGATTGTTGATTTTTTTCACGTCATATCCTAATTTCATCTCAATTAGGGTGTGTTGTTATGTTGCATTTTTCAACCACTCTTCAGGCCTTCAAGTCTACGGTTCTCAACCAAGTTAGGGTTCTTCAAATAGTACGATGGCTATGATGGTAAATGCTAGGGCCGGCCCAAAGCATGGGCCGGCGCCAGGCAGCTCGACCGCACAGAACCAAATAAAACGTAAGGCCCAAACAAAACTATTTTTGTATAATTATACTCTCTCACTCCCGCTAGAAGGTTCCCGTGAACAGTTTACGATACTTGACTGTCAATAAAGCAACTTAATCCCTATTCACAATCTGTTTATTTTTAGTAAATAAAATTAACATACTCAGAAACTACATTAAAACCGCTACAAAGCCTGATAAAAAAAATGTAAATTTGACAAAAATTTGATTTATAAAGTAAAAGATTAAAAATTATTTAAGTTGATCATGAGAATAGTGGACAAGAACCTTCTAACGGAACGAAGGGAATAAGTTTTATTACTAGTATTAAAAAATGCAGAAGAAAAAGGCCTCATGGTGGGCTTCCGTTGAGGCGTCGGCCCAAAAACAAGGTTCATGAATTAGATATGCGTCTCGCCTCTTTTATAGACTAATATAAGAGTTGGAACTAGAGAATGCTTATATATAAAACAATAGTGTGAAAGAGCTTTATTCTCTGGCCGGTGTGGGAAACTGCTAGCAAGGCCCACTACTAGCAATCTGAGGTTTGTTTCACACGAAGCTACACAATATTGAGCAAGTATTATTATTATTAAAAATAATTATAAATTTATGATAAAAATGATATTTATAAAAATGTGACTTTTTTATATAGTGACTATAATACTTACATTAGTCATAATAATTTATATTCAATTTTTAGAATTAAATGATCATGATATTATATTTGTCATATTTATAAGGACTCTGGAAAGCTAATATTAGATTCATGTTTTCTGTAAGATAATCTTTAATACTAGACTTGCATACTTAAAAATATTTCTTGAAAATTAAAATAAAGCATAAAAATCAAAATGTCTTTTTACGTCTAAACCTCGCTTAGGCTTCAAAGACTTAGTCTTGTCGACTTGCGCCTTTTAGAACATTGATTATAACTCATTTAAAATATGCTCAAAGAATATTTCTTTTAAAATAAAGTGGTTTTTGTTAATGAATACTAGTATATACTTTTATTTTGACTGTTTTAATTTGTTAATTAATAACTTGTAATTTAATATATAGTATTAATTAGTACTCCCTCCGTCCCGAAATTATCTTCATTCTTTCCTTTTCATTCCGTCCCAAATTTATCTCCTTTTTCCCTTTTTGGTAAAGAATATGTGGTTCACAACCATTTTTACACATTTCTCTCTCCTCTGCATAACTTTCCACCACACAAATCCCACTATCTTAAAACCCGTGTCCGGTCAAAACCGGAGTTAAATATGGGACGGAGGGAGTAATTTATTACTAATATAGTGTTCAATGTATTATGTACTTTACATCATCTAATAAAAGGTCCAAATTTTATTGTTGCACATGATTACTAGGCATGGACCCGGTATTCTTTGGGATCGGACTAGGTAAAAGGGTGTACGCAGTCTTGGTTTGCATTTTTTGGAACCGGGCTGGGTGATACCGATTCCAACGATCAAATCCTTTTTAAAAAAAATAGGAGTGGGGTGGGGCATGAAGCTCAGGTCGTCGTTATGTAGTGACAAACGTGAAAAATGAATTGTTACAATTAAAATAGAAGGAAGAATGTATATATGAATTGTGTCCATTCAGACCACTTATGTCTATACTTGCAAACAATTTCAAATGCAAGTGCGCTAATTTTGTGACTAAAAAATATTTACAGGGTAAACCATTAAATACGTAAACCAGTTTTGTATAATTTTTATTGGCAAGAAACATGTAAATATTTGATGTAGGGTACCAGAAAACAGGGGCGGACCCAGAAAAGTCATGTTGAGGGGGTGAAAATATTTTTGGGGGGTTCAAAATACTTTTTGGGAGAGCAAAATTTATTTTTCGTATATATATACACTAAAAAGAGTTTCGGTTGGGGGGGGGGGGGGGGCAGTAACCCTCCTGGGTCTCTACTACGGTCCGCCCCTGCCAGAAAATCAAAACCAAACTAGTCATAATATGAGGAACTTTCGAGATGAAGTCTCTCTTTTTATTTCAATTGTTCCAAAAGGTGGAATCTCCCACTCCAGCAGCCCCCACACTCCGATCCGATAGGATTCTTGGGAGGATGTAAGTCACGTTGACTCAGTCGGTCCAATGATAGTAGACCTTATACTCGTGCACATCAAAGGTCCAGCCCAGTACGCAGAGGTTGTATCCTTCACACGACCACTGCGAGTTTCAAACCTTGGTCATTGTTTCAAAGTTCTCATCGCTGAACCAACTGAGCTAATCGTGCGGGTTATCTTTTTATTTCAATAAAGGAATGGTTGGTGGGCATGATGTGATGATGAGAAGAGCTTAAATTAGCTTCTATTATGCATCATGATTGAGTTGATTGTTGGCCACCTTGGCGACATATGGGAACATTTCAAAAGGCAACTTTGACGTAGAATCAACCCACAATCATTTCAAGATTACAACTTTTATCGAAATTATCAATAAATTAAATCAAATTAAAATAAATTAAAGTAAAAGTTGCTTACTTTCATAACATTCTAAATCTATCAAAGCCGATGCTTATCTCGGTCCCTTGCATTTGTCTGGTACTGTTTTTTTGGTACATCAGAAAATTTCTCTTTTTTTAAAGGACTTGTTTTTTTTATATATATTGAGACTTGAATTTCTTTTTAAAAAGCCGTATAAACTACTCTCTCGTACTAAAAAAAATTTAAATATATTTTTAAGCGCACGGCTTGGCAGTCAAATAACCCTTCATCGAATATCAATTTGTTCAAATGTACGAAATATTACTTTTGAAAAAAGTGTGTAGATTTCATGATTGTCTTATCAATCATAACGAGATCGCCGAGATTATATTATTTCACAAGCTACACTTTTATTAATTATATAATGGGTGTCAAATTGAAAAGGGGAAATGTGACTTTTATATGCATGGATTATTTTATCCATTATTTTATTTTGAAACTATTGTAGGACTTATGTCTTATCACCCATTTCATCAAGAACTTGTCTATTCTTTCTACTTGCTATAGGAATTCATGTCAAATAACAATAGAATTAAAGTTATGAAATTTGAGGGAAAATGCATGTAAACTAACTCAAGAGAAAACTCAAGAGGGCTAAAAATGTTCTCTTCAATCTTAACAGATTTGATGATTTGAAGATCAGATCGAAGACAAATCGCAATGCCCTTCTATCAGGCCTTCATGATGAGATGTGGGAGGTAAAAATTGCTGGTCCAATTGTTTTAATGAAGATTAACAAAAAGACCAGTTGACACTGAACTTGAAGATACTTCGTTCTAAGACCTAGGATATAATGGACGATTGGACAAATGAAGATAGGAAGAGAAACAACTTAGATAAAAATCATAACATATCCAGAGGTCATCTCATTCAAGGCTATTGGTGAAACCATATTTAGAATATGGAAACGTGAAACTATAAAAGATGTAGCAAGAGATTAATAAGACGACCACAAACTTACTATATATAACACTCAAGAAATTTGAGGATTTCATGATGCATTCAGGTGAGGCAGTTCTAGACGTGGATTCAAGATTTTTGAAGTTAATAGCAGAGGTCTTTGATCTTGGGAAAGAGCTGACCCAAAAAGATCTCTCTCTAAAAGTGAAAGAGGTCCAAGATTTCCCCATCACATGGACATGAAGGTGATTGCTATGAGAGATAGTATGGATATCCGCACTCTCTCTACTGATAAGCTTTTCAGTGATCTTAAAGATTACGAGTTTGAGATGAATGAGATGAAAGAAGAAGAAAACGGAGAAGCCATAGTTACTACTTTGGTTGTTGAAACGTAACAAGCAATTCAAGATCATTGGAGAAATCATTGAACATTCTCTCAGATGAACAATTTGCGATGTTTGTTCGCAAGTTCAAACGATTAATGAAGAAGAGAGAAGGGCACACTTCAAGAAAGCCACAGACCACTCAATCACGTAGACAAGGAAACAACCAGATATTGATGATTTTTTGTTATGCTACAATTGCGGAGAATCAGGACACTGCAAATGTGACTGTCCTTATCTACATGAGCGTGCACAAGCATCATTGGAAGCCATTTTTTTTTGTAAAAAACACCAGTACAGCTGCAGTTTGAGTTTCATATATTCTTTATAACTTCAAAAGAATGTAACTGAGAAATGTGCATGTTTTATACAAATGACCATTGTGATGCCGTTCACTCACTTTCATAATCATCTTCATCTCTGAATGTAAACACAGAAGCATCAGCAGCCATAATCTTGAAATCACTTACCCCAGTCACCCCAATATTCAGGACTTGTTTCATCCTGAATCTCCAAGTGTTACTTGTTTCGTCTTACGCGTTAAAGTAGATATTTGAGGTGTTCCAGTTTTATTACTGTTATTATTATTCCCCGAAGAGGATTCAAATTCAGCAACAATGACTTGTTTGTCTTTTGACTTTCCTATTTATTAGCATATGAATCAAGATGAAAAATGTTTATTATATTTTGATCTGAATGTACAAAGGGAGTATATAAACGAATACAATCAGATTGGGTTGACCAGCTGGCTTATTTGTTCTAACTAACTGTACGGACTAACTGAATTAGTTGTATAACAGCTATAGTATGTATTTACAAATATAGACTTTGATCAAAATATTGATCATATACTAATAGCCTCCCTCAAGGTGGATCAGATATGGAATGAAGATTCAGCTTGGAGACATTAGTATTGAATGCAGTAGGTAGTAATGCCTTTGTGAAACAGTCCGCTAGTTGGCAGGATGTTGGAACAAAAAACAGTTTGATTAAGCCCTGGTCAAGTTTAATTCGAATGAAGTGACAGTCGACTTCGATGTGCTTCGTTCGTTCATTAAATGTAGGATTTTTGGCAATTTGGATGGCAGATTGACTGTCACTATAGACATGGAAGCGGAAGCATGCAAATCACGTAGAAGAAATTGAATCCATTGTAGTTCACACGCCAGGGATGCTAAAGCTCTGTATTCAGCTTCAGAAGAAGATCTGGAAATAGTGCTTTGTTTCTTTGATTTCCATGAGATTAAAGAATGCCCTAGAAAAACAAAAAAAAACCCTGTGACTGATTTCCTTGTGTCAGGGAAAGTGGCCCAATCAGAATCTGAGAAATCTTGTATTTGAAGAGTGTTGGAGGATGAGAAAAACAGACCAAGAGATAGTTCCTTTTTGAGATATTTGAGAATGCGTAAGGCAACATGAAGGTGGGGTTCTCTGGGAGATGACACAAACTGGCTAAGTTGTTATACAACAAAGGTGATGTCAGGTCTTGTATTGGTGAGGTAGATTAGGCGGCCAATCAATCTTCTATATGATGTAGGATTATCTATAGGATTTCCTATATCTGCAGCCAATCTTTGAGCAGAATCAATAGGTGTGGGAGCTGGTTTACAGCCAGATAGGCCAAATTCATCAATCAGCTCAAGGCAGTATTTTCTTTGATGTAGAATAATTCCCTTTTTGGATCTAGCAACCTCAAGTCCTAGAAAATACTTTAAGTTACCCAGATCCTTTATGTGAAATTGTTTGTGAAGCAATGTTTTTACTCATTTTATTTCTACAGCATCATTCCCTTTAAGTATGATTTCGTCAACATAGACTAATAAGATTGTTAGTGAAGATCCTATGTGTCTGACAAAGAGAGAGTAATCAGCTAGGCTTTGCTTGTATCCAAGAGTGATTAATGTAGAAGTTAATCTGTGATTCCACTGGCGACTGGCTTGCTTCAGACCATAAATGGACTTTTGTAATTTACAAACCAAATTGGGATGTGAAATGAGAAGTACTGGTGGAGGTTTCATATATACTTCCTCGCGTAAATTCCCATGTAGAAAAGCATTATCAACATCTAGTTGCTTAATATACCAGTCGTTAGTACATGTCAAAGATAATAACAATCTCATTGTGGTAAGTTTTGCAATAGGTGAATATGTTTCAAAGAAATCAATTCCTTCTGTTTGTGTAAAACCTTTGGCTACGAGTCTGGCTTTGTATCTTTCAATAGAACCATCAGATTTCAATTTAACTTTATAAACGCATTTGAAACCCACTGCCTTTTTACCTGGAGGTAATTTCACTAGGGACCAAGTTTTCTTGTTTTCAAGAGCTTTAATCTCAGTAAGCATTGCTTGTCTCCAACATTCATGTTCATTGGCTTGTTTGAAAGAAAAGGGTTCAGAATGAAGTGAAAGGGAATGACAGTAAGAAGTGTATTTAGGAGAACAATTGGAGAGATTAAGTTGTGGTTCAAAGGAATAAGGAGTAGAAGAATTGGTAATAGCATTCCAACGGTAGTAAGCATCAAGGTAACCTGGAGCTTTCTTAAGTCTTTTTTTTGAAGTGATGTTTGGAATAATGGATTCAGATGATTGAGAATCAGGAGCTGGTGTAGAAGGAATGATGACACGATCAAAAGAATCTGTGGAATGTATTTGAGAGTGGAATGGAAATTGAGTTTCATATAAAAGAACATTTCTGGAAATGAAAATGTTTCCAGAATGAAGGTTGTATAATATATATCCTTTAGTGGTTTCTTTAAAACCCAGAAAGATGCATTTATGAGCTCTACTGTCCAATTTGGTCCTGTTTGTGTAAGAGTACTAGCAAAAGCAAGGCAACCAAATACTTTTAAATTCCTCAGATCAGGTTTAGAATGAAAGGTTAGCTCAAAAGAAGATTTGTGATCTAGAATAGGAGAAGGAAATCTATTGATAATGTGGATTGCATGCTTAACAGCAAAAGACCAGAATGTTTTAGTGAGTTTAGCTTGCAAAAGAAGTGCTCTAGTGATGTTGAGAATATGTTGATGTTTCCTTTCAAGAATGGAATTTTGTTGAGGACATTCAACACATGAGGTTTCATGGATGATGCCTTTGTTGTTATAGAAATCTAGTAGGATGAATTCCTTTCCATTATCAGACCTAACTTTCTTGAGTTTAAGGTCAAATTGATTTTCAATTTTAAGAATGAAGTTCTGGAGAATGGTTTTGACTTCACTCTTTGTTTTAAAAAGGTGAGTCCAAGTGAATCTAGTGAAGCCATCAACTACAGTAAGGAAGTAGCTATAACCATCAATGGAAGTTACAGCTAAAGGACCCCATATATCTACATGTATGAGCTCAAAGAACCTGGTAGTTTTTGTGGTGCTATTGGGGTATGGTAATTTCTTTTGTTTAGAGAAATGACAAACATCACAGCTTGAAAAAGAAGAATATGGAATGTAAGAATACTGACTTGAAAATTGTTTTAAGACAGTATTAAAAACATGACCAAGTTTGAGATGCCACAACAAAGAAATGTTAGTTGGGCTAGAATCTACATTATTACAAGATTTTGAGAAACTGTGATGATTAAAAGAAAGATAGAACAGGCCTTGATGCTTTTTAGCTATACCAATCTTCTTCAATGTTGTTTTCTGTAAGATGAAACAATTTGAAAGATCAAAGATGATGAAGTGTTGACTGTTAGACAAAAGTTTTGGAATAGAAATCAAGTGTGCAGAAAAGTTAAGAACAAACAAGACATTTTCAAGGATTAAATGCCCTAGAATAACTGTTCCTGCAAACTTGGAGAGAACTGAGGTGCCATTAGGAAGTTTAATGTGCACAGGAAGAATGGATTTTAGAGAAGAAAATAAATGTTGAGATGGACAAATATAGTGGCACCACTATCAATAATCTAATGAACCATAGAGGAAATGTCACCAGGCAGATTAAAAGTAGATGTGGAAACATGATGAACTGAAGGGTTGGAAATATGAGAATGCTGAAGAAGAGCCAGAACATTCTGATATTGCTCTTTAGACAATAGAAATTGATCGTGAATGTTATCCTCCTCCAGAGTATGGGACACCGAGTTATCATCAAGGTCCATAGAAGCTAAATGTGCTGATGAAGTGGTTGCATTTTTGTTTTTGTATTCGGGTGGATATCCATGGAGTTCAAAACATGTATCACGAGTGTGATTGTTCCTGCCACAGTAATCACAGTGTTTTTGTCCTCTGCCTCTTCCTGTGCCTTGAGTTCTACCACCACGATTGTTGTTGAAAGTTCTACCACCATGAGAATTGTGAAAACCACCACGAGGCTTGAATACATTTTCTGAAGATTGATGATAAGTGGAGCTAGAATCACCAATGGCTGCTAACACAGTTGGATTAGAGGATTGAGAGATTGAAATTGATGTTCCAAACTCTCGTTATTGTTGTAGTATGAGATTGAAGGTTCTGGTAAGAGTTGGTATTGGAGATGTTAACATGAGTTGAGAACGTGCTTGTGAAAATTCCTCGTTCAATCCACGTAGAAATTTAATAACATAATTATCCTCTCTTTCTTTCATTATCTTTTGCAGAACACCACAGGAACAAGGAATTGAACATTTGCATATAAGGACTGTGCGAAATTGTTCGAGTTCTTTCCAAAGGGCTTTAAGTCTGGTAAAATACTCTGTAACAGAAGAAGTACCTTGATGAAGATCCTGAATCTCTTCCTGGAGATCTGCTATGCGAAAAACATCATCATGTGAAAATCGATCTCGCAAATCTTTCCAGATTTCATGTACTGTGTTAAAATAGATGACGGATTCAGCTATTGAAGATGTCATGGATCTCATTAACCATGCCATAACCATATGATTGCAGCGACGCCATGGTTCTCATAGAGGATCGGTTGCGGATGGAGAAGGAAGTGAACCGTCAACAAACATATCCTTGTTCTTTGATTCGAGTATAGCGATCATGTTGTGACGCCATGAATGAGGATTCTTCTTTGTGAGAAGATTAGGAACCAAAATAAGAGTTGGATTTTCACTTGGATGAAGAAATAGTGGATTGGAAGGATTTGTGAGATGATCATGAACAAGATCGTCACGAGATTCAGAAGATATTGTAGTGACCATGGCTGCGTTTTACTCAAGAACAATCGAGAAAGAGAGTTGCGTCTGATACCATATTAGCATATGAATCAAGATGAAAAATGTTTATTATATTCTGATCTGAATGTACAAAGGGAGTATATAAACGAATACAATCAGATTGGGTTGACCAGTTGGCTTATTTGTTCTAACTAACTGTACGGACTAACTAAATTAGTTGTATAACAGCTATAGTATGTATTTGCAAATATAAACTTTGATCAAAATAATGATCATATACTAATACTATTTCCCAGCCTGAAACATATCATCGTTCTCGTTTCTTCCAACTAATTGTTTATTTGAGTTTGTCTCGTCAAGTTTGGCTAGCCCAGTGTGAGGATTGGCGCTTTGACCAGATGATT